GCCTGGGGCCAGTCCAAAGGCCTCAGGGGGCCACATCTGGCCCCCGGGGCTTGGGTTGCCTACCCCTGCTCTAGAGCCATACTTCCAACACTCAAACCACTACTATGTTGGCTCTCTCTCTATATACCTTTCTGTCTAGTTATTGTTGTGTGCCTTCAAGTATTTTCCATCTTACGGCGACCCTAAGTCAACTCTATCATGTGGTTTTCTTGGCAAGATTTGTTGGGGGGGGGGGGGTTCCTTTGCTTTCCTCTGTGGCTGAGAGGATGTGCACTATCTGAGGTCACCTAGTGGGTTTCATGGCCAAACAGGGAATCAAACCCTGGTCTCCAGAATCATAGTCCAGGACTCAAACCATTATGCCATGCTGGCTCTACAATAATCTATAAAATAATATAATAATCTATATATAATTTTTGAACACATTCCAAAATATTATAATATATTAATCTGTATCTATCTGAGCCCCTTTGTTGGGAGACACCCAACTCATTCTCCCACCTCTTGTCCGTGGTCCCCTCCTCCTCCTCCTCCTCCTCCTCCTCCTCCTCCTCCTCCTCCTCCTCCTCCTCCTCCTCCTCCTCCTCCTCCTCCTCCTCCTCCCATTTGGTATGTGTGCACAGCTCTCTTCTATCCTCTTTCTCTTACTTAAGCAATGTATGCATATTTTCCATTTCCAGTGGCTATTGATTTCAAGGAACCAACTTCTTCCATTGAACTAGAGTTTGGTTTTCTAAACTCTGAGCCTGGGTTTGAGGGTTGAGGTTTATTTTGGGGATGGGGGGGGTTGGTTAGCTATCAAAGAACCAACTGGGGCAAAGAAGACTGAAAAAAAAACTTGCAAAGTGGTTTGTTTTTTTGCAGATCCCTGGCCCCACAGCTGAGATGGCTAGCCTTGTTCTCCAACCCCCAGCCTCTGACTTGCTTTGCATGGCATTTGCAACTCCACATTATACAGCCCCAGAAGAACTGCATGCTCTTGTTTCTCTCTCCCCCCCCCATCCATGCATATGTCTTTGTTGGGAATGTCCATCGATATCTGGAGAGGTAAAGGAATACCCCCCTCCCCCTTTCCACCCTCCATCTGCTGTGAGCAGAAAAACAACAGCAACTATACAACCCGCTTCGGACCAGAACTCAAATCAGAGATAGAGTGATCAGAAAGAGGTGGTTTCCAGGATCATGTTTGAGCTCTACTGAAGCCAAGAAGTGGGAAATGATCTTTTGGTGTATTTGAACAATGGGGCAGACTTGCTTATCTGAAGAAAGTGAGGCACCTTGGAATGTGTCCAGAAATTACACCCCTTTTGCATGCCAAGAATTTGATTATTGATATCCATTCTAAGAGTCATGGCTAAAAAGGATTGCAGGATCACATTGAGTCCAGGACACAGTTGGGGGGGTGGTGTTGAATTCTCCCTAGAATTCAAAGGATACTGCTGTGTAGCCAAAAAAGAAAAAGAAAGGGGGGAAAAAGGTGGATTTGGGGAGGGGAAAGTGCTTTATTTTCCTGTGATTAAAGGCACTACCCTATTGATTCTTACAGCATTGAATGCATTTTTAAATACATATGCAGACATATATATGTTTACTTAAGCAAAAGGGAAAACCTAACTATCCTGGCACAAGAGAAAAGGCGGGAGGAAGCACTATTGGGCCAACATAATACTATGAACGAAAGGTCGTTTCTGCACTGCACAATAAGCACATTCACACAATGAATAGCAGTAGCAGGCCCCGCCTGTCATGGATCCTGCCCTGTTTTGTATTTAGTAAATTCTTCCCTTTGTGATTCCTTCCCCTTGCCCCAAATATTAACATTATTTCTTCGTTTTGGTAGCTGGAATGTATGGCCTGTTAGTCAATTGATTGTTCAGGACAATTTTAGATTGCAGAGTTTTCGGTGCTAAATTGTTCATTTCTTTGAGAAGTTATTTTGGGTATATTTGGTGGGATGGGCACCCTTTTGTGTAGGTGAAGTCAGCTTCCCACTTGCTACTGTGTTGTCAGAACTATTTCTTGTTCGAGAGAAACCTGAGCATGTTCAAGGAGAGTCCTTTATGCTTTGGCCTGGTGCCACATTCTTTATTTCATAGCGGCTTCTCTAAATGAGTTAACTATCAAAGAGTTTTTCATTAACTCACTTGGCAGCCCATATATGAATGAAAAAAGAGCATAACTGAAAGAGGGCAGGACACCATATAGAAACATATATCTAGTATGTTTTAGAATCAAATTGTATGTGTGCATGGGTTGTTTTACCACTTTTCTCCATCCCTTTTCTTTTACCACTTTTCTCCATCCCAATTTGGGACAAGCATTTCTATATGTGAGGTGGGCTATCAATATTTCAGCAGCTGGTTACTGCAGGCAGGCAGTAACTGTATATATGACTCAACTATTGAACTTTGGTGTCACTAGTCCTCTCTGTTTTGTTAGTTCTGGGTTGCACTCAGCGTTAGATGCTGCAGCCTAAATATTTTAGTCCCAACTAGAGTAGACTCATTCAAATTGTATAAGTTCCATAAATGTTGATCTACCAAGTTCACACTGATTTTATGGGTATGTTTGACTTGGGAGTTACAGCTGGATTTAGGCCAATGGTTTTTGTTAAATCATTGTTAGGATTACAGAACAAGTCATGGCAACCTGCAGGATGATTGCATATTGTTAACAGTGGTGCTTTTAGGATCTGTTCACACTTGATGCCAATGCAGTCCAAGCTTTTGCAACAAATGCAGAAAGCAACACAGTGGCTCACAGATGGGAAACACTCAATATACGTTCCTTCAAGTATCTTTTTTTAAAAACAAGCAAATCATACAAACAAATACACACTAATTTTCTATGTGTAAAAAACATACAAGGCAAAAACACATCTAATTAATAAAAAGTTTTTAGCAATCTAAAACAATTCTAAAACTAAGAAGAAAACAAACAAAACATACACACAAAACAGGGAAACAAAGGCTTCCATCATACCTGACTAAGGTTCTTCAATATAATTTCTAATCCCCAAGAAAGAGGATAGCAGGGATTGCAGTGACCCCAAGACAATTGCATTACTTTCCCATGCAAGCAAAGGGATGCTCAAAATTCTACAACAAAGACTTTTAACATATATGGAGCAAGGGATGCCAGATGTCCAAGTTGGATTCAGGAGAGGAAGAGGCACTAGCGATCATACTACAAACATATGTTGGATAATGGAGTGCACCAAAGAATTTCAAAAGAAAATCAGCCTGTGCTTTATAGATTATAGCAAAGTATTTGTTTACATAGATTATCAAAAACTATGGATCACTCTTAAAGAAATGGGTGTGCCACAACATTTGATTGTCCTGATGCATAACCTGTACTCAGGATGAGAGGCTACTGTTAAGACTCAATATGAAGAAACACAGTTTCCAATTGGTAAGGGGGTCAGGCAAGGATGCATTTTATCACCCAGTATGTTTAACTTGAATGCTGAACACATCACACATAAAGCAGGATTAAATCTGAAGGCAGGAGGTATGAAAATTGGATAAAGGAACATCAAATTGGAGGAAGCAATATCAACAATTTAAAGTATGCAGATGACACCATACTACCAGCAGAAAATAGCAAAGACTTGGAACAATTATTTCAAAGAAGAAAGTGCTAAGGCAGGTTTACAGTTGAACATTAAGAAAACAAAAATGACCACCAATGATTTACATAACTTTAACGTAGATGATGATATTGAAATAGTTCCAAATTTTCCATACCTTGGCTCAGTCATTAATGAGAATGAAGACTGCAGTTAAAAAAAAAAAAACTCAGAAGACTAGAACTTGGAAGGGTAGATATCACAAGATTCTGAGGTTTAAAGATTGTCCATGCCATTGTATTTCCCATTTCTATGTTGTTGTAAAAGCTGGACAGTGAAAAAAGCTAATAGGAAGAAAAAACATTTAAAATGTGAGACTCAACCAAGGAAGCCAAAGCCCTGAGTCTGTAAGACTGGAGCAGGGCTGTTGATGACAAGGTAATTTGGAGGTCTCTCTTTCATGGGGTTGCCATAAGTCAAAGTCAACTTGGGAGCAACTAACAACCAAAGTTAAGGCTGTAGCTCTTGGAAAGAATTTCACTTGAAAACAGTGGTGTTCCCTTCAGAGCAAATGTCTATAGGATCATCCTACGGAAGCACATTCCCATTTTCACCTCCCACAGCTGTGATGCAAAAAGAAAGCCCACACTGGATAGACTGCATGCTCAATTCTGAAATATTTTGCTTAGTCTTTACGACTGGCATGCACACCAAAAGTGCTTGAAAATTTTTAAAGTGGCTTTATACTCTTGTCATATACGTATTTTACTCAGACATATGTGTCATTTTCCTCACTGGGATTCAAATCCAAATAAATATACATAGGCTTGGGGACTCAAAATGCAGTTCCAACAGAAGACTACTCAGAAATAAGTCCATTGGGTCTAAGGAGTCTCACAAACAGATAAACTGGATTGAAGTTCAGGCTGTTTATACTGACACAACAACAACATCAACAACACCAAGGAGGAAGCCTCATTGATCTTTTCTTTTGAATGCTAGGTATTGTTTTCCCTTTCTTTCACTCAGTATTATTTCTGAGTAGAGCAGCAAACTGTCCTGGGTGAGAAGGCCCTCAGACAGCAAACTGGTTGCCTGCCTTGACAAAGATCTGGTGGCATTTGATTGTAATTGGGAACCGTCATGGTATTTTGGAGGCACCTTTTGTCCAGGGTGAGCAGATGTCCTCACCGCAAAGGAGGACAAGACACCACAAAATGTCCGACCTTCAAGAAAAAAGTAGGGCATAACCACAGAAAAGTTTTAAAAAACACTAATGAAAGTGTCAATTCATGCTTTGTAGTTCTACTCAAAAGGGAGGACATTTTTGAAACCCCTGCTGGACAGAAGGTTGGAAAGTAGGACCTCTGGTCACCCTGCATAAAAAATGTAAATTCACGCAGCTTAGTCCTGCTCAAAATGGAGGACATTTTTAAAATTCCTCCTGGACAGAAGGTCAAAATGGAGAACCAGTCCTGGGAGAAGAAAGGGCCCCTGGTCACCCTGTGGAGCAATGTAAATTCATGCAGCTTAGTCCTGCTCCAAAGGGAGGACATTTTTGAAATTCCTCCTGGACAGAAGGTTGAAATGGGGGACAAATCCTGGGAAGGAGAAAAAAAGAAGACCTCTGGGTCAGCCTGCTTTTGTCACCTGGTTCCAGGCTTGGCATTGTCTGACCCACTGTGGCCAGTGTCAGGTTTCAGGATCCCACTGAACTATCTATCCCAGGAAAAGCCAAGCACAACAAAGAATGAGGAGGATCCAGTCCAGGGTTGTTTGCAGAAGAACTGGTTGGAGGGAT